AATTATTTAGATTGCGACATCCTAGATAGTCTAATTCACATTAGGCAGGAAATTATCATGCTAACAACAGTCATAAATATTTCTTCACACACATTTTTCACAAAGCTGTCGAGTGGTGAATTGGGTTTTCGGAGTGAACCGCGGTTGGTGCCATTTTTTACTGTTGGTAGCCTCGCTTCACAGTGTTAGCGTGAGGTGGATACGAATGTTCGCCCCACGTGCTCGTTCTGCTTGACTAAAAAATCTTCCTTTCAGTCGCAACACAAGGCTAGCCATTTGATACTAGTCTGGATAACATCTTTCTAATCTTTTGTGTATATCTGCTGTTTTACCCGTTTTCACAAAAGTGGAACATTCTCCCGAATCCAGCACCTTCTACTCCCCCCACATTGCCGATTATTTTTTAAATGGGATTAGATATCGGACGTAGTTCCCTTGCATTTTTGGCTTTTCCTCTAGCACTCTAACCTACCTGATACTTTACTGCTTCAATCGGATGGCGTATGCCATACAGTTGCTGGGGAATTAACTTACGGGAATGGAGCTTTTCGCTTTGTTCACCAAACACATCAGAGGTAACGACCGTGCACAACATTTTGTGTACCGTGCTTCCATTCCCAACCCATGTGGTTATCGCTTCATTTCTACTTTGCGACCGTTTCGCCGTCACGTCAGCCATTAATTTCAGTAGGTGAAATGAAGGCACTAGTCATTATGAGCTTGATTTTCCCATTTTGCTCCTTTTGTGCGGTTTAACTGACGTCCGATCTTCATCTTCTACCGTTTTCCTCCTTTAATGGATCTGCTTATCCGCTCGACCTGCGGCATCGAAAGCGAACTTGACTTTGTTACTGCCCAACGCACCCCATGACTGCTAGATGAAACACCCGTAACCATTAAATCGATATTCCCATTTCTCGGCCATAACTTAGCCAATCCGCCAGAATCCTTCCGGGAACTCTCATTTTTAGTCCGGTAAATGTTTCGCACCTTATTTGTGCGGATTTCTTATATCGGGACATTCCGCGTGCTCGGCATGAGTCATCACTTGCGCTTCTGATCCTTTTGCATTTGCCATATTCGTATTGTTGTTTCTACTTTATTAATTCTTAGTAATAGGTGAAAGCCGAAATGATAGCAAGCAGTAGAAGTCTCTTAAGGTACCTAGAGACAATTGGTCACAGTTTTCCTCACTCAGATTGTTATTGCACACACGAAAGACTGCTGGTTTGCTCGGTCACACACTCGAACTTTGTTTTTTGTACGGAATATTGTCGCTCATGCTTTCGAAGGCACGATCTGAGTTTCGATCAACAATCGATTTACATCACAAGTAAGGTATCACATTGAATGAATTTGTCAAGTTATCGTACTTGAGCAATTTCCAAGTGGCCATCACTAGCTTTTCCAAGGCCTCGGGATGCCAACACGGCATATCCGAGAGCTAAGCCAATTATCGCCGGTATGTTTGAATATTACTGTGTGTTCAGTCCACGGCTTTTCTACCATCTCGGGTTATCAACCAACACGTCTTCCGGGAGCAGAGCCACTTATCAACGGCTACTAATTGGTTCAGTCTCTTGCCCACGTCACAAATGTCATTGCGTTTCCGATAATTGCTTCTTGCTTGTGATCGTCGTCGCTGCGCTTGACTGATAGATGTTGATGACGTTCCTTCGCTTTTGCTTCTCCTATCTATTTTTTAAAGTTTCACTCGCTCACTTACGATTGATTGCCACCCAGACATTTCCCTCTCGGCACAGGAGTATCCAGCCACCCCGACTCACATGGCAGCGCTAATAGCATTTGGGAAAGGCGGTAAAAATAAAGGGACAAGATGAGCGATATGCAAATAAGGTTGCACCATTTAAAAATAAACTAAATAAATCACCAGCTGTACGCCGTAACGGCGCTTCGCTGCCATGCGTCTACCACCAGCCGCGCGTAGGTTGAGTATACCGCTAGGACGCCCACCCCTACGCGGATTCCAACCGGTGACCTTATGGTTGCAAACCAGGTGCGCAAACCACTCGGCCACCGGCCGGCATTTGTGCAAGGTGTACTTTTCAAGTGGCATTGTGATTAGCTTGGTGTCATCACTCGTATGCACAGCCGCCATCGACTTTCTGGTTGCTTCATGTCAGGACAAGCCTTTGATCACTTCATACCTTATTACCAAATCGTTGCTTGTTCACTTTGCATTTATAACCAACCATACACACGAAAGTAGTCAGCAGACAAGCACAATAATGGCATCACTTTTCCCGTGTTTTCTGTTTGACCTGAGCTGGAACTCCTCTGAAGAAGCATCATTAAGTCTGTTGCTGAAGTCAACTTGCTTTATCCACTCGGCATTCTCACTGGCATACTGTTCATCGGCCAAAGTTCAACTGAATCCTCCAAAAATTCTACGGTATTATCTCGTTTTGTCTTCAATAAAATACTTTAAACATTCACTGCAGATGTTTTCGCTAACGAAGCACTATGGATGGTTACAGGCGTTCCTAAACCACTGATGTTTCCCACAATGTAGCTATGCAGCCTAGCTCACCCTCCATTATCAGTCCAACGGCGCTACGATCCTTATTGTTTCACCGATCGCCACATAACATCATTAGCCGGCCACTGTGATCGCTAATCGTTGGGAGTGGTTATGGTTGGGTTTGAAGGCCACACCGATAGTGACGCTTTTTCTTGGTTACTCTTTCCATGTTGTTTCCTGTAAGCATCAGTGTATATCCTATGGTCCACATCTTTCTGGTCTCGGTTGTTAATCACACATTTCGCTGTCCCACTCGCGGTTGAATGTCAACGAGGCCGTTCGGTTTTTGCTCAACACCAAACTGCACGATTGTTCCAATCACCACAGCAAACTTAATCCGGACGAGTGAAAGTACGAGTATGGACGAAAATAGAAAGTCAGTTAGGTAGAGCTAAAAAATTCGACGGCTATAGTCGAGATGAAAAGCAACAAGACCCACTATTTGAATGGTCTAATCAGCAGTTACTAGCAACTGACTAGATACACGACAGTCGTTGCGTTTGTAACTGTCTCTTGTTTGGGCGGGTGTTCAGTCCCTACTTTTGCCTATTGCGTAGCCTGGCCAACCGCTTTTTGTTACTGGCTTCATGTTTTAACAAGCATTCATCAGCCGGCCCACGCTTGTCTGCACTGAATCAGCTACACTGTCGGAATTCGGTGCGCATCGAACTAGCGCTTGGGTACGGACAAGAAAAGAGTCGCTCATAGCAACACTACAATGTCTGTTGTCGAACACCCACTGGAGATCATGTACACTACCCGTTCAGCGCTTCCATTGTGCTTGAGTACTGTTACACACGCAGACACACAACTGGTCAAACACAGTCTTCCTATTTGTTCACTTTGCACCCACTGACCATGGGTTTCATCCACGCACTAACGCTGCACGCAATGCACGCTGCGTTTCCAGAACGGTGAGGATCACGGCCGTTACTCCTTCCTTTGGGTTTATTCTCTAGGCATCTTTGCCGACTAATGTCCTTGTACCATATCTTGTGCATTTTTACACCTGAATTTCTTCCGCAAATGAATTCAAAAAAATGAACGAGGCACCCAGAAATTCTTTACTTTGGCAGCTCTCACTAGTTTATCGGTTACTCCCAAGCGTTCATTGTCAACTCACCGTTTTTTATGCGCCCTACTTTGTGTACTTATTGTGCTGTAGGCCAGCTTCAATTTGTAAGCCGAAGCACCAAGTTCATTTTGTCGACAGGTGAGCTTCCTAGAGTACATGTGCTTGCGTTTGTCGATATGCCTTCACGGTGTGCTCCCTTAACACACAAGCACTCAGCTGTGGACACCTTTCCTAAGTAGCTTCTGTACAATATGCTGCTGGTATGCCACGTTGCGAACAGAACTTTCTCCTGAGCGTCTTCCGCTAGATGGACGACCTTCACTTTGGTTTCTTTGCTTTTCTTACTTTTTTTTACCGGCCTTCTCAGATAGTTTGTCGACATCGAATCCAGAAACCCCGTTTCATCGTACGACACCAAGTATCCCTGTATCATAGATTGTGATTACTCACATTGCCATACGGCCCTAGTTGATACACTAACGAGGAACAATAACGGAAGAAAATTGACTCTATTGTGAATCGTTACTGCCCAAATAAAGGTTCAGGATTGCTTCCATGTTGGCGACACTGCATGGCTACAATTCGCCGGTTATCGTGCGCTAGTGGCATTTATACGAGACAACACACCCTCGAGGCTTTCGCAATTTTGTGCCCAAAGCAACTTCACCCCGCGGCTAGCTCCTAGTCTTGCGAACTTCAACCAGGCATTTCGACTTGGAAACGATAGAAACGCGTTGATTGCGGTGACTGCGCGTCGAATGTTGTGATGCCTCGAGTTGCGTATAGGGTTGGTAGCCTGGACCGCAGCATCAATGCATCACAATAGCTGAGATGTTTATCACCTCTAGCCAACGTGTTGAATAATGACGGTGATCACAGCGTGAAAGGTCAGACCAACGGTCAGCAGCAAATTTGGTTGTTATCAAGTCAATATTTCTACTCCTGTCGATGTCACCACATATTTGACAAACGAAGCGCGACTGTGGGTACGCGTTAAATGCATCTACCTGGCACGTCACCAAGTTACCTCACTCAGTTGATGTAACAAACAAACTTATTCAACGTCACCTGAACACATCTTCGTTATGGACATGCTGTTGCTCGCCCTTGCACAGGTAACGATGGTTTCAGACGTCCTGAAATCAAAGTGGCCTTGTCTGTCTTTCTACGATCACCAACTGCTGCATATGAACCCGACACCTTTGTTACGTTACTCAGGTCCCAGTAAGTACGACAAGGCATGCGTGTCACCCAGGCTGTTCGAGCCACTCGCTCACAATGATTGCAGCCCACCTCTCGAATTCATCACAATCGGTTTACTTTGCGGTGCGTGTATACTCTTTCTGTCGACTAAAAGTCAGATTTTCATCGTTATTTCCACAGATGCTTCGGCCCCATCGGTACCGGAGAACCCCTACGACGCCACAAGGTACGACCTAGTCTTATTGACAAATTCTGTTCTCATTTCCGACTTTCCTCGTCGCGTATCCAGATGTTCACTGAGTAAGGTACTCCATCTATCTCCGCTTCAGCGGTGGATTTGGTTTCGATGAAATGCCTTCCACAGAGGAGATCGCACCCGAGGATGATGAACTGCCCGGTATGTCATTCTGCCCTTTTTTGTACGTTTGATCCCTACAATAAGCTCTCCTGCATTTACCCTGCCTTCGCAACGATGCATCGGTGACTGTATACTCCTCACGCACAACATTACCATCTTTCTGCGCCTGTCCTTTAATCATCTCAGTGCTTTTATTTACCGTTCCACTCCCCAGCGGTTTTCATGATCATTATGGGATGTATTTATTGTTCATATCAAGAGTTCTCTTCATCCGTTATCTCTCGACTTATTTCTTTTGCTTTTCCTTGTAAAAATTGTGTTGTCTGCGGGTCCTCATGTGTCACCTGACTGCTTCCGCGGATGCATAAAGTCACACCACTTTGCACGTGGGCCAGATCACATGATTGCTTCGGCACTGCAGAACTCGGCCTATATATATCTGTCCGGTATATAGGACACTTTTAAGTAACGGGTTGATATCACCTATGCATAGGTTCTAGTTGATTCCCACGAAGTCAACTTCCCAACGCTTTGTCACACACAGGGTAGTTCATCAGCTGTCCATCACATATACTGTGCCTAGTATTGTCGATCACGAACTCATTGACTAGACATGTTTACTGTGCTGGTGGTCGGAGTGCTGCCTTCACAGTGTTGTTGAGCTATCTCACACCATATGTCCCCGAGTCGGTTTATTTGGCGTCTCCACTTAGATTTCTGTCTAAAGTACAAACTGCTACCTTATATAATAATATGTCGCACAATCGCTTCTTTCCCAAATTGCTCCAGAGCATGGTATCTCTGTATTTGTGCTTGATCTTCTGACTACCGAACAGCAGCTGCTGCTCTTGTGCTTCTGCAAAGCTTCCCTCCCGTTCGCACCGTCATTGCTGTCTTTCTGCCCCCTGCCATGCTGTTTTGCTTTGGGTGTTTGAGTTACGGTATATTGCATCACTACCGCTCCAATTGCTCACTCTGCCGCTGTGTTTACTGATCCGCTTTTCTTGGCTGCACATTCTCTTTCGGAATGAAGACGAACCATCTACAGCCACTCATGACAACGACACCGGCGCATTTGGTATGTTTCAACCTCAAATCGAGTTACACACTCACTAATCGCACTCTGTGTTTGTTTTGATTCTGTGTGCTGTTTGCTTCTCACCCACTCTGCACCAATCGCTTCTCTCACTGGTGTCGTCATCGCAACTGCGCACGCGCCATCTGCCTCTCATGCTTCATACCGGTCACTGGTATTCTATCTATGTGAATTTGTTCAACTGTTTTAGTTTCTTATTTCCTCCACCCATCACGCAGGGTGTCACAAACTCTGCTCATTTTGTCTCTCTGCTCTCTTATCTCACCTTCTTGCATTTCCTGTGGTTCACTGCCGAAGTTCGGTTCGTCGTATTTTTGAGATCATCTTATTCGGTTTACTTTTCGAGCCACCTACGTTTAATAGGCCTTGTCGATTTCTTGTATGACTACTACTGAAGACATAAAGCACTATCCAGCCACCCTGACCCGCCATCATTGAACTGATTGGTTTTCAGTACAATTCACCATCTGCGGGTCGGTGATACCCTTCTGTCTAATCTGAAACCCTCTTTGGTGTAGTGCTACACTCTACATACCAGACTACTCATTTACTTGACGTGCGTCTTAAAAATCCTAATTTCGACGACACTGCATTTGATGATCCTTGAAATCACAGAAAGTTTAGGAGTTTGGGATTTAGTGTTTGGGCACATATAGTGTAGTGGCACAGGTGTCTAACTTGAAGCGTCTGCATTCCGCGATCGAGGCCCGATCCTGCCTGTGCTTGGGTGCCCCGGTAGTATCGCAACCCGCTTGCAAACCTAAGTGACTGCGTGATTGCGAAGCGCCAGTATTGTGTTGCTGTAATGCTGATGCCCTTTATAGTGTTTGTTGCTATCCGAATCTCAGCCAACGGTCCGGCCAGTGTTAATGTAAAACTTCGAAACTACAGATTGGTAACAATAATAATACTAATAATAGTGCTAATAATAATAATACAATAATGTGTCAGCTGTACGCCATAACGGCGCTTCGCTGCCGTGCGACCACCACCAGTCGCACGCGGGCTGATTATACCGTGAGGACGCCCACACGTACGCGGATTTGAACCGGCGCCGCAGGATTACGAGACAGGCTCGTTACTTCTAGGCTACGGGCCGACTACAGAATGGTAGGTTATCAATGTTCGTCTTAGGTTACTTTAGGCCCTTCCTGGTGGCCTTCACTTGCCCAAATGTACCACCTGTCGGAAGCCTCAATCCGCCCACGTGTTCGACGGGTAGTTATGGTCTACCTGAATCCCGTTGCGCACCACATTCGTGAACTGCTGGTAGTGTATTTATCACTACAAGTTAGAGCACGATTGAGATTATTTACCCATGACTTAAGCTCACAATTAGCCATATACTTTAATAGGCGGTGAGCCAGTCGGGGTCACTCGTAACTTTCAAGGTCTTGCGAGGGCCCTGTAACGGCGTTTAGATGTTTGTAACACGATCTAGCGGGGAAGATGGTTTAGTGGTAAGTGCCAGTGTAATGGTGATGGTCAATAGTATGAATAACAGCTGCTTACTTTCGAAATCATCCGATCCACATACTCACGGCAAACTCCATTATCAAACTTTAATCGCAAAGAATGTTCACTTTTTCCGCTCTAATGCCTGCTAACTTACTTGGTGGATAGGACATTTTGAAAGCACTCCAACTGCTCTGCTGTGTCCTCCTCACGTCCTGAATCCCATGTACCAATCTGCAACTGCAGTGACTCATCTCTTAGTATCAGAAATTTGAGGTGGACGTGCGCTTCAAATTGGAACAAGGTTTCTGGGCCAAACCAGCTTTGTGCGTTGACACTACAGGTGTAGACAAGTCGCAGGCGATCTATGTAGCCCCTCTACTCAGTTTGATATAGCAGTCTCAACCAGGGCTTTCAGAATGGTATTTATCGACGATCATCCGTTAATCTTTGCAGCCAATCGATGTGAAGGGAGTAGACGCAACGGCCAACCAGGTAGCCAATTGGAGACGGACGGGTCACGCCCTGTAAGTGATCACACTGGATATAGCCGTCCGTTTACCTTGGCTGACAGCACTTTGTCAAGCTCCAGTCGGCCCATTGGATCGTTTGTTTGGCTAAATCAACATCAGGAACTTGTGTTGTTTAAGACATCGCAACGGCGTCATTGTCTGTGGATGCTGCTCAATATCACACCATAGTACAGACTGCTTTTAACTACAGCACAGTGTCGCGCGAAGGTAATCGGATCATCTGTCTTGTTTAGATGGCCTCTGTGCGTCTCGAACAAACCGTACGACGTCGATTTGTTGACTCCTGAGGGCTAGACCGAAGTATGTGAGTCGCTCAATTACTCTTTACCATCTGTGGGAATAGCGAAAATACACAGATTGTCATTCACAGTCACTAGCATGCACTTTGCACCTTCAAGACTGGAGACGCCGCTTGTCTGGTCTAATCCGTTACCGGCTCTACCCACTGTTAGACCGCTAATTTAAGTTATCGATCGTTTTGCTCTTCTCTGTACTTTCGTATGAGCGGACCATAAAAGTTGATGGGCAGGTTATATATGTATATGCGGCTTTGCAAAGCTATCATCAACCCTTACTGTTGGTCCAAGGCATGACATTCAATGCCACGATGGGTCCGGTGTTACTGTTCGAATCAGACCTATGATCACTTCGTCTTAAGAATTTTACAACACCCTGACAACGCGTTCATCATCACTCGTATTTGATGGAACCTTCAGTCAAGCACTTCTGATCTCAAATAAGAACGGCGCTGCTTATAGCAACTGGACCTCCGCCTTTTGGCCCCCCTCCATTTGCCTAACTGGATCCAGGAAGCTTCTGATCGCTTTCAGCTTCGTTCCGCTCACCCGTGCTTCATTTTTTGCAAACTTTTCAACACGTTAACTCTCACCTTGTCACTTTGCGTTCCCATCATTAATCACTTAAACTAAATGTGTATATATGTCCACGATTAACTCACTCTGGCCTTGCTAATATGAGAGCGTTTCGACAATTTATGCAACACTTTAGCTGTTCTTTTATAATCGCATAGCTTCACTGACTATCGCCAACCGGTTTACCAACTGTCGGCTTTACCACTCGTGGTTACGACACCACAACCGTATCTTTTTGTTTGAATTGTCGTGGATCGGTATCTCATGGATCTTCTAGACTGAAATTTATTGTGTCGAAACTGCACCCTTTCGACTCTTCTCTGGGCTCGGCATGCATCCTTATCCGCCTTCTTATATGTCCTAAACGTCCTGTTACTATCCCGCTTTTATTTGTTAGCAAGTGGCAAGTTAAACCAGCCGAGAAATATAAGTGGCACGCTGACACACGACCGCTGACGGTTGCATGTTTGCTGGGACACTGCGAGGTTACCGGCGCTTAGACAGATTTGAACTAGTAATTCGTAGATCTCAATCCAACCACCACTAGTTATCTGTTGCGCTTCCATTCTTGTGTTTCGTGATAACGTCTCAAATAAACAAACGGCATATTCTCCAACGAATTGAGACACAGTTCAACCGAGATCACTTGAAACAGCTAATTGTCTTAGTTCTATACAAGGATTCCGAGAGGATTTTCAAGGTGAGTGACGGGTTGAATGTATTGTAGCAATTAATTAAATGAGAACAATAAGAAATACAAATCTATCCAAATGTTCAAGTAAAGTAATACGGTCATTTGTGGAATCGTCTCAGGAGATCTGCCTCCATGTCGCGTATTCCATCGACTGGTTTCACTTCTACGCCCCATCTGGCTGTGTAGTGCGGCAAAATATCAACTAATCCATATACGTTTAGGTCTGTTTTTCATGCGCACGTTATGGACGATCAAGCTATCCGGCTCTTTACGAGCATCTCACCTCCTTTTATACCCCAGTAAGTCACTAGCAGTGGGCCGTGCATGGGTATGCTTTTTAGCTTGGAAGATCCAACACGCCTGACTGCGTCACACTTTGGAACCCCCACCCCACACTCCCAATTTTGGCAATTGGTTTCTCATTCTGGCACTGTCGTTGTTAGCTCTGGGACATAATTCCATTTTCTTTTCACGTGCGACTTTTCCCCACTGCTTCAGTACACCTAATTACTTGCCCTCTTTGGGATCATTTAGATGGTCGTCTCTAGTGATTTTACTCCTGGGTAATCATTTTCTCACCGGACTCTTTTATAGCGGGAATGCGAAAGGAAATCGAAGTACTAATCAAAGAAAACGTTGAACTGGTGGAGACTAAGTAAGTTGGAATTCAGCAACCCCCTCCACCCCACGGCCACAAAACAGCCCTCTTTGCTACGCCGAACTTATCGGCGGTTTCATTCATTCTACCTCGTCTTGCGCGCGCGCACACACACAAAACCTGTTCGACACCCATTTCTCGTACTTTTTGAAAATACCCAACAGCCGTTTACACGATGCATCACATGCATTTCTTTCGTTTGGCATGCTTTATTTTTATTAAAATATGTTAGCCAAGTGACGGATCACGCTATTCACATTGCATCTCCCTGTTGCTCTCTTGTGACTCTGTCTCTGGGCTTGATACGAGTATTAATACTACCTTTCAGCCAGTGTCCGCCCCACATGCATAATCTGATTCTTTTTGCCACATTCCTCACCTGGAATTTCCACCTCCCGCTTGTCTTGAATCGGTGAAAGCTGTGACACTTGTTCCCGATGTAACCTCTATCAAATTCCTAAACTAAAGTACAACGATGAATGCTATCCTCTCTACCCACGTGTCTTGCACACTCACGTTAGATTCCATCACTTCACCCAGTTCTAGCCTTTTGCGCATATCCTCCGTTTTCTCGTCACGCCTCGCTCTTGTCTTCGTACTGCTACGTTTCAGACCTCTCAGTGATTTCTTTTAACAGATTCTTTGTACGTGTTCTTTCTCGCAATCCAACTGCGCTACCGAATCACTGCGTTTCCAACCTTCTGTGGTACCCCTCATTTGACCACCCTTCACCCTCGGTGCTCTGCACCTTGGCGTTAACTGGTCTGCTATCCGATGCATGGCCTTCGCTCCTCGGCTTCATTAACGCGCCCAACTCCTTACTTACTTGTAATCTGAATTCACAATCCTACCTCGATTAGCCCAGACCTTTCCGTACTGTGATGGTTTGTGTATCTCAGCGACTCATTGTGCTATACTACATGGTGCTTTTCGTACCTTCAAGGTCACTCACTTCAAATTAGTCAATGACTAGAAGCCAGATAAAGTCAATTTCTTGCTACTCCAAGTTGGGGTTTAGAATGAGGGTGGCTCACTTCTTAAGACTGACTCTCTGTAGCTCATTTCCAATCTCTAGTTGCTTTGCAGACAGGTTTTCGAATCAAAGGCCTTATTTGAGACCCTAATCGTTCTCCTGTTAGGCTTGGGCAACCTGATTTTATCTTGCAATACAATCAACTCTTTATCAAACGATTTGTTGGACTTTTAACTGTATCAGATGATAATCAGCTACGTCCTACCTGTTGCGTCTAGCATAATCACTGGAGAAGTGTCTTCAGACTGGCAACTTGCCTCCAAACTTCCTGCAGTTATCTTTCTTCGACTACTTATTGGTCCTGGTGTAATTCGAATCACTGAAGGCCAGGCTAGTTTCCGCCTAACTCGTCGCTGCCTTGGTTGCATACTTACTCGATGTCAGTTATTGAAGCAGAATCACACTAACAGACCACCGACTATGATGGTCATCCTTGGACTGAAAGTTGCTTTCGACTTTTTTGATAATGCCAACTCGTAGTACTACTCCTGGTACAACTACTCAGTGGTAACCGTGTCAAGAAAACTCATTCCCATTCTGAAATCTCTACCGTGACTCTCGAGACCTAGTAAATGTTTACGGGAAGCTCTCTGGGGTTCTCCGTGACAAATGGGGTTGGCCAGGTTTGTACTACACCTGTTTTCCTTTTCTATTTTGTGGATGATATGAGCATCCATCCATTTTTTAACCTCTTCCGTACTGGAAGTTCTGCCAGGTGGCTAACTGACAAACTGGAGTATGCGGACGACATATCTCTCCTTGGGTCTGGTGAAGTGTCCGTGTAATTCATACTGAATATACTGACGTATAGTGTTGCACGCTTTGGCATGTGCTTTGCACCTTCAGAGTGTGTGGTGTTGTTACAGAACTGGGCCGATACGCCACCGGTTCTAGTTCGCACCGAACAGCCACTAGAAGTGATGGATCGGTCCACGCACCTTGGTAGCTGTGTCATCCCTGGTGGTCACATCAGCAAGGCCCATGTAGCTTTCCAGAGACTTAACCATCTATGGAGATGACAGGATTTCAGCTTGTCAGTAAAAGGTAGCTTGTGCATAACACTTCGACAAGGCCGGTTTTACTGTGTAAATCAGAGACCTGGTTAGTTCGCAATGAAACGGAGTGCTACTATAAATAAATAAATTTTATTCTAGAATATTTCAAGGCACGCCACACGCACTGGTGGAATCACCAATTGAGCAATTTTGAGGTCCGCCAGTTGGTTTTTGGCATAACGCCTTCTAGCGCCTCATTGTATACTTGCTGAAGATCAACCGCTTAAGTTGGCTAGTTCATGTTCTTCGTATGCCCGGGGACAAGCTTTCTCGGCTTGCATTCTACACCGTGGCTGAGCCAAATTGAGCCTAACTGAGAGTTGACCAGTCGATAACAACATAAGGGCCTGAAATATTGACAGGGAGACTTGACCAAGCTGGTGCCTGCCGCCTTCGTGGATGGGGATCCCTGGATGGTCTACACTAGTGGTTAGAGACCCCATCAAACACCTTGCGTTTGCGCTGTCAGTGCCGTTCTTGCATTTGGTTTCTTGCATCTAGTCGTTTATATCTCATCCCAATTAGTTTTAGGTCTTTCTCTTCTTACTCTTTTCTTGTGCCCTGTTTGTAGTAGACCTTATTTTCCTACCATTTTTTTCTGGCAACTGAATGAGATTGTAATCCAGCACATTACTCATTGTTAGCTGACTTTTTGATCACTATGCCAAAGCTCCGCGATCGGCGGCTTGCCTCATCAGTGAACAACGAATGTTTTCTGTTCGCCGCGCTGGTGTGAATTCCATATGGTCGTGGGCTTAGTTTCCCGATTTCTTGCAATCCTTTAGTCCTTTTCAGACTGCTCGCGTGCGACCCATCTACTAACTGTAGAGGCCCCTTCAAGCCTGTGTTGAGTTTCAGACACTTTGATTCTTATAGCTGTTCCAATGGAGCTTTTCCGAGACAACTCAGTCAGATCACACTCAGTTGGAAAAGTTCATCGCTAAATGACTCTTAACCTTAGCAAATGTTACATCACAGAATGCCTATCTGCACTTAGTTTCGGAGTTCTTTTCGCTCTCGAATTCTGTCACTACTAACAAACTATGAATTTCTGACACTCAGGATCTGATAAGCACGAGCTTTTGTTGCCGAGATCACATAGCCCCACGAAACCTATGCTGGGTTTTTCCGAGTACTACTGTCGCCATGCGTTAATTCCAACTGCACAGGTAATAGCTGAACTCTCCTCATCTAGACCGCTGTCATATGTCGACACAGACCGCACAGAACCCATATGCTCTCCCCAGTGACGTTACTGTAGCTACCATCTCTAATCGCAGTGACCCGCCCGAGCTCCCCAGTGACCACTGCTGTAACTACCGACATAATCCCCACTGACCTCTCTTGGGTTTTCCTCAAGATACTACCACTACGTCACAACTCAGGTGACTTACAAGCATTCACCTTCCTCCATAATTTATGCATTACCCCTTTATACTATTGGGTTATAAATCTAAAGGTGTAGAAGGAATGCTTTGCCTTTGTTTGAGTCAGTAAACGGACTCTTGCTGTCGGCCAGTCTATTTTTCTGGGTCCCTGTGCAGTCGTGCGATGTTAACCGTTTCGTCTCCACTCTCAGCTCGCGTGTACAACATCTGTCGGGTAGGTATTTCTAGACCTTGCTGTTCGCAATCCCATTGGGTACTTTGAACTTCGGGCACCTTCTGTATGGAAACAGCTAAAATGTGCCATAACAACTGCTACTGTGCTTCATGTTACACACCAGCCGTCCTTCAATCACTTGAAGTTTACCCGTAGAAACACAAGCACTTCATTTTTTGGATCCTATATCTCTCCGTGCCGTGGCGGCCTGAGCCTGTTTAGCTAGCGCACAGCGCAGATTAGATACACACCTTCACATGCTATTTTGCTGAATCATTGTTTTAGGAGCCCATCCAACTAACAACGCATTTTTCACTTCGATTTTCTTGCAGAAACGCTTTGAATGTCGTCAAAGATGATCTGCTCGCAAAAGTCGATAACTTGACGCTGTGAGTGTGGAAGCAGCATGTGGCACTATTTTTACACCGTCTTGAATCAACTGTTGCTAGCCATGTATTGGTTACCACTGCCGCACATGAATCATAAATAAATGGGGCTCATTGGTACTTTTTGCCTATCGCTATCCACAATTGTCTCTTTGATTATGGCCACAAAATTCGTAATATTCTAAGGAATAACGCGGAGTTCCTTTGCTTGTGACATCGAGGCCGTTTTCTCAGCTACATTTGACGTCACTACTGGGGAGCACTACTAATGCTCTCATTTTGTTTAGGTGTGACAAACACAATGTTCATCTTTAGCGAAACTGATCTACCTCGCATCATATCCAGCTGCCCAGTGACATCTGCTTACCTCACTGCGGTTTTGAAGTAATAGCCTCGTTTTACATGTGCATAGCTCTCCCCTCACTCATCCATTTTCGCTTTTGAAGTGGAGTATTTTGGAGTACTCAGAATTTGGAGCGATTGCGCCTCTCATTTTTCAATGTTCCACGGATTACCGATTTATTCTATAATTTGAAGTACCTGTATCAAAACATCCATGCGTACATCACCTTGGTGTATGCTGCGTTTGTTGGGCATTTTCTCGCTGTCGCTTTGGACCCTAAAAACGGTAACTGCTAGAATCCTCTCTGTGTTCCATGCTTGCTGTTCTTTCGCTTCCTATTGTAAGGCATCGAAAGCACTGGTGCTGGGTGCAGATGTACTTCGGACACTGACTTGGTAGCAGTTAAGCGTGTGTTTTGTTAGTATCCGCCTTTTCCCACTAATCCATTTTATCCTGCGATGCTAATCGTAGGTTTTTAGGCATCATTCCCCTCAAATTGTCTACCGAGGCTCTTGACACACCATGTACGGTGGATGCAATTACCACTACCTCTGCAATCATGCATGTGAAATCAGCACCATGAGGAAAATATGACAGCCGCAGGTTTATAAACGATAATCTCATTTCTTTCAGCATTAGAAGAAACATTGTCACCTCTACCGAATGGTTGTTGGCAGTGTCGTTAGCCGAAGATTACATGTCTTGTGCCTTGCCTGATTTCTCCGAGGTTGATGCGGCACGTCCAGAAACCTTTGTAAATCATTCGACCGAACCTAATCAGTGGGTCCATTTCACAGATACCAACTGCTTCGGTGTTTTCGAACCCGGTAGCTCTACCAGTTTTGTGCAATGTCACACAAATGAAAGACAACCAGTCCGTTGTTACATTCAGCGCAAACCCGCCTGTTTTGACGTTTTTGCCTTTGCGTTCTCTCCCATCACTGCTCTACTAGATCACGCTCCACTCTCTCATGGTCGACACATTTGCACGTATTTTTAACCGGGTTTCACTTCGCATCATCTCATTAATGTGCAATTCTTGACAACACTGTATCGACCCTTCGTGACTTGCGGCGGTGTTTTCCAGGGGTTTTGACGCGACTTTAGATTTCGTGATCCGGCTCCATGGTTGGTGGTATCCGGATTCCGAATTTGCCTGCCACTGCAGCCTCCTTAGGACAGCCACAGGACGCCTGCGTATTCAGATGGACCATGGGTGGTTTGCGCTGCACCACCCATATCTCTATCTATGCACTCCATGTCTAGTGTAAACCCAAAATAATAAGACTGGGAGCCACGTTTCATCAACCAGGCCGACAAACATTCCTTCAACATGCACAGCAGCAGCACTCCTATCTATGTGGGGATTCATACGTAACAGATTTACACAAGGCGTTGGTTGGGCTGTATTTCGCTCCACACAGGATGAAACCATTATTTGAGCCTAGCACGGCCACGTAGACTTGCACCTCGTCCCGCAGCAAAGATAAGCAGTCTTCAGGAGCCATTATTTTTGATGGAGTGTGTTAGCAAGGTAGCCGCTGGCAACATTCACATCACACCGGTGATTTCAATCAACTAACATAGAATTTAGTGGAGATTATACATGCAAAATTAACACGGGATATTCTGCAGAATAACAGAACTGAACAAACCAAGTGCAGTAGAATACTTCAGATTAGGGAAATTTAGTTTAAATGTAAATCTGTGTAGCCCAACTGTATTGACGAAGCATGATGTTTGCACCATCACCAAGCTATACACTTTAACCTGCCGAACTTGCTTGTGCAATGACCTTACCTGAACCAGCCGATGAACACATCAGACATATAATCGCGACTTCCTTCGACCAAGAGATTGAAGCAAACTAATCCCGATACAGACGTTATTTTCGTAGACAAAATACGCACCTATCTTGATAATAGTTCACCATTCTAGAGTCCTCGTAGTTCAACCAAACTCATTTGTTGAATACCTTAGACGAGCGGGCGCAGCCTAGACCTGCAACTTGCTTCTGCGACACACTACACTGTTTAGTCGTGCTGCCGTCAAAACCGGACGATTTCCAGCGTTATAGTAGCACGAATCATTCCGCTATCTTCGCTGCAGATTGACGGAGTATCACCCACGACATGTTTCTCAAATGTATTTATATCGATGACGTACGCAAACGATGTTGAACCGCAGCCAGTCACGCATATCTTCGTGAATACGTTTAGCCAACTATAATTCAAGCATTAACTATGTTGCTTTTTTATCGAATCGCTTTGACTATAATACCAAGTACCTTTGTTAACGCGATAGGGACCAGAGCGATCTAACGAGCAACACAGGACCCAAAAAGCATTATAATCGAACGCTAGAAGTGAACTCAAAATAGGCTTTATGTATCCGGATGTGTGCAGTTTTTCGGCATTTTACATCATGCTTTGCAAATGGACTAGAATAATTTCATCAAAAATGCAAAAATTTGCAACTGAATGGGCGCATTCGAGTAAGCCGCAGTACCGAGCAGCAATTGTATTTAGTCGAGAGGGTAGAGTTTCACCACAACACTACTCCATACATGGTTTCAAAAGGAATGAATCGCGCATTTGCAATAGTATCTCGACCTTTGTATTCAAAATATGGATGTAGTTAGACAGCCTCATTGACTTTGGAAATAGTTTGATCAAATAAGGTCACCATCTATTCTTGCAAAATTGGAATATCTAGTGTGGATAACGTAGCAATTATATTGAACGTAGCGAAACGCGCCATGCTCAAAAGCATAGAGATCTTCTATCAGTTCGTCCGATCCCACTGCTCTTATCCACATTACGACATGTTCAAGCCCAACTGACTTATCCAGTCAGCTCGTACTATTCTCCTATGCTATTGACTGATGACTTGTATGTTCCTTTTAACTAGAATTTAGCTCTCATTAGGCAATCACTGTCTGGCGAAGCACGTTATGTAACCAGCATTGCTTTAACCGAAGAGTCAAGTGCCGACCATCTGCTGACGGATTCCAGCATCATTCCCGTTGTTCCCACCTGGCATCATCATTGCTTCATGAACACGGGGTTTAAAGCACTGTCAACGGTGCTCATATCTCTGCCGCATACGATTAATTGGTCTTACTACAACCTTGCTACTGTTCACCTTCTCTGTTGAAATGGAGAGGATTGTTCTTTAGAAGCTACCGACCTTTACTAATGTACACCCTAGCATCTCAGGTAGTTAGATCTCGGTTGTTACTGTGGCTGCCCCCCTGATAAGTTATTTGCTTTTTCAATGTCGCTACCTGATGTCACACACCGAACACTGATCATTTGAGGGGTTTCAAGGTCGGTCCTCAGGTTATATTCTGTGACAACGCATCTGCGGCGATTGCACTTCATTGTCAAGTGCCAGTTTGACTCTTCCACTTTCTGCGAGTACATGCGCTCAGTCGTCATTAACCTATCTATCGCGCTTCCTAAACTTATTGCTTCTATTTCAAAAGTCGACAAAACCTCGTTTCCGGGAGTTTTCGAGTCTTGTCTATCTTCCACTAACACACACTGATCCTCAGTACATCTTTCTCACATGCAGGAGTACTTCCGATTGACTAAGCTGCGGGTTGTTTGCCCCTAACCGTTTGCATCTCTTTACTTTTTAAACGTATTTTTCCGCCACTTCAGTGAAAACGCCTCCCTCAAAGAATCAGTCACTCTGCTGACACAAGTCCGCACCAATTTACAATCCGAACTGAATTCCACCGACCAGCTACTTGGCGATGCGAGAGCTGAAGTCGCGGAGCTCAAGGAACGTATCTCCTTGTTGTCACGCAGATTTGAGGCAAGTTTCTCTTTTGATGTGAATAAAATTCTAAGCTGATAATTGTATCTGTCTCTGAACCGTACGGTCTTCACATACCGTCACATACTTTTCATTTAATTGTGCGTACACCATCCACACCTTGAGACAATTTCGCATGTTTGTGTGAAGAACAAATAGTCAGGGACTTGTGTTGCTTATCACGGGACGTCAGCGTGTTTTCCCTGTCGTGATATTGTTCCATTCTTAGTTCAGACTCATCTTCAGCACGCTATTTCGTCACGTGGCCTGTACCTGAATTTCCCACTAGTTCTTTCGGACTTACCGGTCAACATTCTAACAGGCGCAATCATTCAATGGCTAAATGGTGGCTCAGTTAACTCAACCTTAGTTCATTGTTCGTACTATGGTTTGTTTACTTCAAACATCAATCATCTAAACATCGAAGCCCAATGAATTAGGTTACTCAACTCAGTTTTCTGTGATAGCCAGTTTCCTCGTTAATTGATTGAAAAGGCAGAGGTAGAACTACCCCTTAAATTCCCGTGACTGAGAGGTATTCAATTCGCCGAGGCTGTCGATCCCTCCACTCTTCTCCATCCAGTCGCCCCTCGTGTGTTATAGGATCACAGTTAGACTGATCAAATATTGGGATGCCGACTTTTCACTTCGGATATAGCGCGATCGCTTGAGATTTTTTATGACCTCTGATTTAGGTGTTCATGGCAGCGACAAAAATTCGGCAGCTTTTGCTACGACCAGTTGATACCCAACACTGCTACACATTTTTTGTACGTGTTAGCACGCTCACTAATGAGTGTCATTGTCTTTCGGAGCTTCCAATGTCCGGATCGTGGTGACGCTATTAACCCCACGGTCCACGATCTGCAGCTGAGAAGTACAGCCAACCCATGGCCTAAAGGACCACAAGCCTGCCTTTTAATCCGGAGGTCACGGGTTCGAGTCTGCTTAGGGGACCGGGCGACTGAGCCATATATTTAGCCCACGCTAGTGCGCCGCAGCGATGCGTCGGTGCTGGGTGCTGCTGATGCTTTGAGGAGTGCGAACGATGTAACACTGTGGATTTGCAGGTTATGTCATGTAAGTGATTAATTTCCGCGATCGGAATTGTTCTACAAAATCCTATCCTTTATCGGCGTTCCGCACCTTGTTGCGTCATACAAATTCACCCCTTTTGCGATTTGCCGAGGCCATCGCGATAAGCCGAATTACACCAGCTTTATGTATCCAAAGGCAATTAGTTATCAACGCGTGGTTGCCGTAGTCCTAATGCCAACAACATTGACCACAGCCATGAATTTGATTGGCCTGACTGTGCCCTATGAGACTTATAAGATGATTTCTCGGTTATTTTATTGGTACTGACGAAATAACACGTAATGCTAACATTTGCCAATATTCGTCTACTCATTTCGCTGTTTAAAATGTTACCTCTCATTAACGTAGTGTAACCTATCTTCACTCTCTACCTACCGTTTGGAATTGCTGACCGGCTTGAGAAAGTAAGTTGTCTATCTTTAATGGAGTTGTTTCGGGTACGGTTCTTGTGATCGGATTGCCTGAGGACTACTTCAAACTGAACCGAGGTGTCAGTAAAGATTGCGTGTCGCAATCCAACCACTCGGCGGGTACTCCAAAACCAACTTTGTGCATCTGTAGTTTGCCTCGATCGTCTACTCCTTTGAACATAATCACATTTACCATTATGACTTTAGCGACTACGAGGCCTAGACTAAGCAACCGCATTAAACGAAACAAGGAAACTTTAGGCTAATGAACTTACTATACGCACGGTCTTTGGCGGAGCAAATCAAACGTAACTTCCAGTTACTGTGGTTCTACACTTCAAGTTAAAGACAGTAATCAACTTACAATTAGGTTTGCAATAGTATTGGGAATGGAAGAAAACTGGAAAATGTGCGGCGGTGTGGGCAAATGATACAGCGTAACAGTTTGATGATCAGCAGTCTCGGACGAAATGTTTGACTTTGAAGAGTCAAAGATATTTTAATAATGCAGGTGTTTGAAAGAAACGTGTAAATTTATGTAAGAATATAAGTGGAGGGTTTGGAACTAGGGATATCATGTCCTCAAATAGGTAATCCGTTTTGGCTGAATAGTCAAAGTTCTCTTCGGACTTAAGAGTGAGTGTTCATTCGTATTCATTCGTTCCTTTCTCAGCTTGGTCAATGCTTTCACGATCTCTGCATATATGCCATCTGGCCACTGGTCTGTTGGCGTTGCTCCATCGTTCCCACGGTTTTCTCTACAGTCGTGTCAGCATTTCTCTTTAACAGGACATTGGAGGATCAGGACATCGGAAACGCTTCACCCGCGCCGAAATGTCTCGCGTGTTATCTGAGCGAAATCAATACAAAGAACGCTTGATGGAGCTACAAGATGCTGTTCGCTTCACTGAGACGCTTCGTGCCGGCCAGAAGGGACATCCCGAACTGCTCCTAAGTCTTAGCTCTCCAAGTAACAAGTGTGTAACAAGTGGGACCCAGTCACCCATCGGACAGTCCTCTGCTTCCACGCGACCTCTCCAAACACTGCAAAATTTGTAAGTTCTCGGGTACTTTTTGAGTCCAGAAGTACTGACACCGCTGTTTTTCTTCTCATTACCTTAACTCGTTTATCTCACTTCTGAAATAGTTCATCACACAGGTCTAACTTAAATTAAAATATTCCCGATGGGATAGGTGCACTGTCTCGCATTGTCTTCAGCTTATATACAATGAAAGATTCGGAACGAGCGGGAGTCTTTCTTTGAGGCCTTTAGTGATAAGCGGAACAGTCTCGGCGCATTCCGAATCTTTCTTTGTATATCAGTTCACCTGCGCCTGTGGTGCCAGGTACTTCAAACACACGACCAGGCGTCTGTCTAAGAGGATAGCGGAACCCTGTCCCGCCACTTTACGGCACGGTACAGTTAAGAATGCCCATAGCTTCATCCTTGAACACCTAATTAGTACGGGGCATCATGTTCGGACCGATGACGCTTTCAAATTTCTATACGCCGCATCTAAACCGAACCCAAAAGAACTAAGAAAGCGCCTGTTGGCTCCTTCGGAAGCAATGGCTATCACGCTGCTGCAACCGGTTATGGAAGCAGAGGACTCTTATACAAGCGCCCACGCTGCCTTGGCCGGAACAATTGACACCATCTGTACCTACCCAGGACTAACTGTGAGCTTTGACGCCAAACCAACCATTTCTTTTGTTATGTTTGCTTTCCAGTGTTTGAGATGTGAAAGCGCGTGACATTTACCACCTGATTGTACTGACTGAGCTATCGATTGGCTTCTTGGCCTTCCGTTGAAATGTGACCTAACCATTCCCTACTGCAGCTTTAGATAACTTATCATGTTGTATCAATTTTTCTCATAACTGTAAATGCCTGTGGAGAGTTATCGATAAGAGATCTCTTTACAGCAACTCCTCGTATTCTATTCTATTCAGTTCAGATTGACAACTTGTGAATCGGGCATTGAAGTTCAGTGGGTCAAGTTACCACGACACGAGTCGCCAAGATGACACTAAGTGACAATTACGATTAAATGAAATGGAGAGCTGCCGCTTGACAAAGAATTACCTAGATTTAATTTGCACCACATATTAACAAGTAGGGTGCGTTAAAATGTACATGGACAGCTAGATGCGTGAAATCAAATGCAGTAACGCCACTGACTGTGAGGCTTTTTTTGTCCGATGGAGTCTGTAACCACTGGTGTGGGTAATCCCGGGACCACCATCCACGAAGACGGCACACACCAGCATGACCATGCATCTCAGTCGGTTTCTTCATGTTGTTATACCACGTTATAGCCTGACCACCTCGCTGTTTCACCCAACTTGGTGCATCCACGGTGTGTAATACACGCCTCTGAAGCGGGTCAACGGGCATGCCGAGACTATGACCTAGCCAACGTAAGCGATTAGGATTCAGCAAACAATGGTGACGCATCAGAAGACTTCTTGCCAAAAACCGGCTTCCTGATCTCAGCACTGCTCACTTGGTGCTCCCACCAGATGTGGGCAATAGTCAACAAGTACTGGTGGTCATACACGGCCAAGCCTCTAATGTCTTCATTACGATCTTGCCAGGCCTCTGATCCGTACGGTAACACCGGCGTTATCACAAGCTACCTTTCACTGTCAAGCTGAAATCCCGCCGTCTGCATAGATGGTTGAGCTTCTTGAATGCCACACGGGTCTTGCATATACACGAAATAACTTACTCAGTGACGTGACCACCAGGGATGACAGAGCTACCAAGGTACTTGAACCGATCGACCGATTCCAGTGGGTGTTTAACTCATAACTACGACCGGGGGTATAGCCGTACAGTTCTGTATCCACCATACACTGAAGGTGCAGAGTACATGTCGAAGCGTGTAGCGTTCTGAACCAATCTGTTCAATAGTAGTTATAGGGGCACTTCAATCCAAGCAGAGCTATGTCGTTCGCATACTCAAGATTTGTCAGTTGTTCACTTGGCAATACTTCTGCATCGGGAGTGGTAAACAGGGTGAAATCTTTTGTGTTCATGTCGACCACAAGGTCGACGAGGAAAGAAGATACAGTACAGACGTAGCCAACCCATTTGTCGTGGGGAACCCCAGAGAGAACTTCCCGTAAGCCCTTACTAGGTTCCGAGGGTCACGGTAGAGATTTCAGAATGGAAATGAGTTTTCTTGACACAACTTTCAAGGACAGGTAGTACCACGAGTTGGCATTATCAACAAAATCGAAGGAAGCTTTCAGGTCAAGGAGAACCATCATAGTCAGTGGTCTGTAATTAGGTTTCTGGTTCACTTCTTGAGAACGTATAAGTATGTAACTAACGCATTGACTACTAGGGCGGAAGCTATCTTGGTTTTCAGTTTTTTGATTCTCGCCAGGACGAATAAGCATTTCGCGATTTATCCCGAGGGTGATTTGGATGCAGTAGAAATAAAGCTGTTGCTTCCCAATGGCTTTAGCTTACGGCTCCTCACCGCTCATTAACTTTTCGGTCTTCTTACCAGTTACTGTGAAACGCGGTGCTTAATACCAATCGGAATGTTTGCATGTTTTGATCAAACCGATTGCTACCACCACAGATCAATTTACAATCCGAACGTACAGTAGGCGTCGAAAACATTTTTCATGGTACACTTGAAACGATTCCAGTGAGCATTCGGTCCCCAGCTTATTCATCACTGAGAATGTGTGGGCCAGATCGTCATGACGCTGTTGAATTTCGGACTTCGAATGCAAGTTCCTAGTTGGGTTATATGTTATGTGCTTCTTTGAAGCGATAACAATGTGCTCCAAGCGTGTATGCATTGGGGAGCATGACACGTGCTCCAAATTGACCGACGGTCTTGGCTCGATGTGCACTATCTATAGCTGATGGTAATATGATCAGTTTGGCTCCATCTCACCAAGGAATTCGGTGGGCATCAGGCAACACAATGTGAACGCTTGTGCTGGAAATTAGTACCGCTGACATAAACATCGTGGTCGGCGCATAGTTGTGGGAATGGATCACTATCGTCAGCTCGGCATGCATCGATCCCGAAGCGCTCTCCCAGGTGTTGTTCAGAATATGAAACGCGACCGTTGAGCATTCAGATCACCAACAGTAGTCACGTGATCAGTATTTTATGCCGTGCGAAGGGGGGATGAGAGTTGACGATTGAAATAGTCTCTGATTCTCTGCCCTAACTACAATCGTTGCCTCCTAAACGGAAGCGTTATAAAGGCACCTTTTCCTCAAACGGTGCGTATTTACCCGAATATAGGTTTGAAGTCGAGCCATGCACCTACGGCTTTTTACCGGTATCCTGTTGTGTAAGTTGTCTCTACTATGTTTTCTTAGGGTGCTGTCAACCCTAATAATATTTAGCACCATTAACATCGTATCGCCAGAGACTCAGAGGATGTAGTCATTTCGGCTAATTCGGAATCATAAAGTCCAGAGTGCGTAATGACATTGTTATCTTATATACGTGTTTCGGAGACACAACACATGTCAGTACTAGGAGAGTGACGATTGCTTATTGGTCGATCTGACTCAGAGTGCAGAAGTTAAACAAACTTATCTGAAGTGAGACTTGATTTGCTTTACGACATCAGCTGTGTGGTCAGCGGCGTCTCTTGCTCAGTAAACCAGATAAGAGATGAGATGGTTGAGATAAACAAGAAAAGGTACGTGTATTGTCGAGAGGGCAGGTGATACTCGCGGGCTGCCAATGGTGAGTGTGAAGTTTGTTTTGATGTAACAGTCTGAGCCACAAGGAAGTGGGGAGCAACTCCGGTTCTTTGAGTTTGATTGCAGAGATTCATCGCGATCTGCTTACAACTTATCACACGTAGTCTTTGAGAATTAAGAACAGTACCCCTGTTTTTTAGACCCTAATATCTTACGCATCTGGACCACAACCAGCTGCACTTGGGAGTTGGTTGGTTTTCACCAATTTGATTAGGCTCTTCCTGGCTTGAGGCAGCAGTAGCCACCCATAGTGCTCTCCCACCATGGCGCTCGTGCTCTATGCAAATCGAGCTGTGAGCTTATAACCCGTCACCAGTCACTTTCATTGGCGGCGTTTTATAAGAAGACGGTCATCGACCTCTCACAAACTTCGAGGAGTATGATGAACTTGATGAACTTGGCCTCTGAAGGCACTTGGAATGTGCCACTCAGGTAGTTCAGTGGGTCGCGGATGTAAACTAGCTAACGCATCACATCAGGGTCCAGTCTGGTCGCTATTCTCTGCGGTTTAGACGACGATCCACCGGTTATATGGTCAGGTCATTTGTCCTGGAGTAGGCGTGTAGTGCCAATATACTACAACTCACCTATGGCATATCATCTCCTAATCAAGTTACTCATACTCCCCAACTCCCACCTTCGGTTGACCACAGTTGCAAAGCATGCATGATTTAATCTGTAAACCCAAAGGCGTATCGAAGGAGGCAGTCCACCCCGGACGGCATATGACCGGGGGGCGGCAATTTTAGTTACGTTGCTTGTTCGATGCCAAATATAAAGGACGAAATTTCCAGATAAGCTGTGAGTTGAATATTTTGATATTACTCTGTATGATCAACAACACCTTTTCGCCATGTGTCGCACCTGTGCAAACGTTCTTCCCAGCGATCCTCTTACTTGTCACACATTTACTTCAGTGTCTCGATGATCCATTTTTTCGTAAACTAGTGTCCACCTTACCCTGAGCCGATTTTGAGGGTTTACGGATTTATAACTGCCAAGGGGGGGGGCGAACATTTTGAAAAAGCAGTTGCTACGCCACTGAGTAGACCCTTATCAAACTCATTGCGATCTGAACCTGCCACGTCCTCTGCCTTTCGAGGCTAGGCGTTGACTCAAAAGCCGTTAGTGGATTCCTTAGAAGCGCACGGCATGCGTATAACGTGACCCAGCCTTCTCAGCCGGTGCAGCGTGTTGTATTCCAATAAGAGCAAGGGGCCTATCCGCAACCCGACTTCAGCAACCGTACCTCGGACCCGCACAAACGGTAGTCAAAACAAAATCACGACGCACTTGGAACAGTG